AGAGCGTGCGTGAGTTGCAATCACGGGCGTGGGAAGGGACAGAGATGCCTTCCTGGGTACAACCAACACAACGTCAACACTTACACAAATTAAACCAAACTTTATTCAGTCGTATGGGCTTTTTCTTCATGCAACGTCGCGTGCCGAGATTTCGCTTCGCGTAACAATCTAAAGAGAGAGAGATATACGCTCGCTCGCGGGACTAAACGCACGCTAATTCGACATTTATTGGCAGAGAGGGACTCACCGAGAAGTAGCTGCTGCAGACAGACTACTCCCTATTTGTCGCTCACGTCGTCGCCCTCGCTCGGGCGGGCAGGGTCTGCCCCTGGTGATTGCCCGCTTCAGACGACTGTCCACAGCTTGCGACGACCTTTGGGGATCGGCCTTCTTTCCTCGCGCACTCACACTTTTCCTCTTTACTCGGATGCTTTCCTTTTTTTCTTCTTCACACTCTTTCTTTTCGGTTCGCGCGCGCACGTGGCAATCAATCTCGCTTGCCGGTCCGAGTCGAAGTGTCCTCAAATCGTTTTTCCCCCCCCACTCTACCGCCGCGGCACGCGCCTGTTCTAGTCTCGCTCTGTCTCTCTCTCTCCATTCCTCGCTCGCTTGCCCGCTTGGCCGTGCTCGGACTCGCACGCGGACAATCCTCCACGAAAACGGCCCCGGCCGTTATAGATGATTTTAAGAAAACAAGCAATTTCTCTACGTTATTACTAATTGGCTTTGTAAAATCTTGTATAGATATTTTAAATAATTTCTTATACATTATTAACGGGCATAAATTGAAGAAATCGTCGAAAATTACAGCTACAGATTTTTTGTTAAGGGCGACAAGCTCGGAGCCACGAGTATTATCGAGTACGAGATCTATACTACCTCCGAAGTACCAATTAGACTCCGACAGTTTAGGCACCCCCCACAGATCAGTAAATTTATAAATGAACAAATGCAGAAATTATTAGAAAGAGGGATTATCGAAAAATCAACTAGCACATACTGCGCACCAGTCTTTTGCGTGCCCAAAAAGAATATGGAAGATGGCGAACCGCAACCGCCGCGCATCGTATTTGACTATCGCGCGTTAAATAAAATTATTCTGGATTATAATTTCCCAGTCCCTCTAACTATCGACTTATTTGAACGAATGGCCGGTGCGCAACTATTCTCATCATTCGATATGTATTCATCATATCATCAGATAAGCATTAAAAAGGAACACAGGCATAAAACGGCATTCCAATGCGAGTCAGGCCTATATCAGTTTTGTCGCTCGCCCTTTGGACTGAAAACTAGCGCACCAGTTTTTCTGTCACTAATAAATATACCAGTTTCAGACTTAAAAAGTGTAGTAGCATTTTTCGATGATATTTACGTATATTCTAAAACATTCGATGAACACTGCGAGAGCATCGTCGAGTTAATGAAAAGCCTTCGTCAAACTAATCTGGTCCTTCATTCGAAGAAATGTAAAATTCTACGCCCGGAAATTGAATATCTCGGACATATAATCTCGAAAGACGGACTACGCCCGTGCAACGACAAACTGCGCGCAGTAAAAGAATTCCCGGTCCCACGCACGCCAAAGAATGTTAAACAATGGCTCGAATGTTAAACAATACTATAGACGATTCATAGAAAATTTTGCTAAAATCGCTAAACTAATTACTATTCTATTAAAGAAACGCCAGCCGTTCGTTTGGGCGGAAGAGTAGCAAAGAGCTTTCGAGACACTACGCGATAAATTATGTGAACCTCCGATGCTCAGACACCCGAATTTTGACAGGACATTTTTTCTAACCACCGACGCATCCGAAATCGGAATCGCAGGGTCGCTTTCTCAATTTGATGACGAAGAGCGAGAACACGCTGTAGCATATATCTCACGTACCCTCACACCTGCTGAAAGTAATTACCCTGCTATTCGACTCGAACTATTAGCAATAGTATGGAGTATTTCATAATTCAGACCATATCTGTACGGCCAAAAATTCATCATCATTACTGACCATAGAACCTTGGTACATATATACTTGATAAGCGATCCAAATTCACAAGCAACTCATTAGTGCTTGTAAATTTAGTGTAGCAACTGTAGCAACTCAACAGCGACTATTGTTACAAAATTTAATTTCGAAGTCAGTTATAAAAAAGGCGCGTCGAATGTCAATGTAGACGCACTCTCTCAAAATCCTATACAGGAAGTCGAACAGCTCAATAAGCATTTGCAAGCAACTAGGCAAGATCCGGTTCAAACGCTGGTCTTGACAGCTCAACTAGATGATGACACCAAAAGGCCAGGAAATACGCACACCATGACAACCCGACGTGCGAGAACCGACAACCAAGTACAAAATACCTGGAAGCCATCAAGTCCCTCCTGCCGCGTCAGAAAAAGGATGCGTCTCCTCAGGAAGTAGATACGCAAGTAACGGAACCAGACACGAATACTAATTATTTTACAGTTACCGAAAACACGTACTGCTCCGAAGGCAATAAAATTGGCACACAATATAATACGCATAATGAATCTCAAAATAAACAGGATACACAACCAAAACAGGAAATGACCTTTGTAAAAGACGTGATGCTTGAAGACTCAGTCAACTCCCTCCCCGAAATCGTGACTTTACCCAATAAAAACATTATCTACTGTCGGGACACACTATTTATGAGAGGAGACAATTACTTATACTTCACTGACAACTTTGGTACCCCCCTGGATGAAGGTGCGTGCAGCTTATTTAAACATGATAAACTACCACAAATGAACAAATTACAATTAGCCGTTACCACTGTAATCAAAATAGGGAACAAGACGCATTTTATTATCCTAATCCGTCGTGAAAATAGAGAGACTACTGAAAACATTAGAAATGATATGAGCCTCGCACTGAAGCAATTAGTAATAAATTTAACTGAAAATAAAATTAAAACAGTCAGTATAGCCCAAAGTAAAAAAATTGAACTCGTCGAATTCTTTGAAATTTTACGAATGATAAAAAATACACTGGGTCCTTCTGAAGTCAAGATTATAGTATGTCAGGGACTTATAGTCTTCGCCCCCATCGAGCATCGTCAACAAATAATCGAAGAGGCCCACTGTTCAGCGATAGGCGGTCATAATGGTTGCAATAGAACTTACAAACGTATCAAGAATAAATACTACTGGGTACATTTGAAGGAGGATGTGCAAGATTTCATTCAAAAATGTTTACCATGCCAATTGAGAAAATTAAATAGACATAATGTCAAACAAAAAATGATCATAACCGATACTCCGCCGGTTCCCTTTTTTAAAGTCAGCATAGACGTAGTAGGCCCACTCGAACCTACTGAAACGACAAACGCTTACTTACTTACCTGCATGTGCACGTTTACCAAATACGCCATAGCGGCACCCATGCCAGACATGTCATCAATCATCGAGCTGGTCACCCTGCTACGCCGTAACACCAAACTCTTAACCCCAATTTCATCAACCCTGGAGTTGGTTACCCTGCCACACTCTAACCCCGATCTCCTACACCCGACTTTCATCAATCCTCGAGCTGGTTAGCCTGCCACGCTGGAACCCGTAACTTCTACACCCCAATTTCATTAACCTTCGAGATGGTTACCCTGCCCTTACCAATTTTCTAGTCCGAAACCCGGTTCTCTGTTATTCATAATCCCAATTTCGACATATTTGTAATATCTCTGACGAAAAGGACATAAGCGAAATAATTGTAGAAGATAAAGTTAAAAAACCCCGCACAAAACCAATAGAAAAATACTTTCGGTTAATTTAAATCTTACACTGACAAATCGATAGTTCGTAACATACTGATCAAATGTCTCCATGGGTACCATATCCGGAAACTCGTTTTTTAGGGACAAATCAAGGGTGTTAGCTCCAAAAATACATAGTATACGTCTTAGCCATTTTAAGACGACAATGATATGCTTTTATTGAATGCATGTACATTGATTTATATTTTGTGGACATTTGAAAGTCGATGCACATATAAATACTCACAACCTCTTTCTCTGATCCGTATATCTCTTTGTTTTACGCGAAAGTGATAGTGTACGGTGATCCATTCTCAGCCGAATCCAGGATCAACGGCGTGAACGTGATGGGCGTCTGATCCCTGTGTGTGTGTGTGTGCGTGTGTGAGTTTATGTGTGTGTGGGTTAGTTCATGTGTAATTATCTACGTGTGTTAGTGTTTGCGTGTGTTATTCATTATGCGTGTTAGTGTGTCAGAAAATGCACAATGAAATATTGAAACTCGACTTGTTATTGAGAGACTAGCCCAGGAGTAATCGATTTTGAATATTTCATTTCACTTTTTATATATTTCATTTCACTTTTTCACCACTAGATAGGAGCCTCACTCTCTCTAGAACTTTTTGTTTGCCATAATCCTTAAGTAGAACCGTTTCGTTATTTTTTTCAATATGTGTCTGCGAAAGCGACTACTTGTTTCATACTGACGATGGCCGGTCAGTAGTCGTAAGCCGATACACAATTCTATATTTTTAAAAAAACATTCCTTTTTTTCTAAAAATACCAACTCTTGCCATTGTAATCTCAATATGCATGGTTATGAGGCTGCCACCACTGCAGTCCACCATTGCAGGATATTGCGGAGAAGAGTTCGTGGCTTGTAGAGAGATCATTGTAATATTTCTTTTCTCAATTCTTAAAAATAATCTTAGTTTAGAATAAATCCAGGGCAGTCTTCTTCAGACTTCCTTATTCATTGTTATTTGAACAACGTTCATTAATTATACACCCAGAAATAAATGCTTACGCTGTTGCTTTACATGTCTTACAATGTATACTGGGATACAGTAGAATACAAAAAATTCAAGTCTTCATCGTAGAGAATAATTAACTGTACAGTACTGATTTGATTTCATTGCAAAAGAATATAATTATTTCTGGTTGTTAAAATGGCTAATAGATTTCGGATTCCTTGCTATATTTGCCCTAACGCTTTACATGCTAGAGTAATGGTACGTTTGGCTAACGCTGAAGATGACCTTCTACGAGAAATCGCTTTTACAAGACGCTTGGAGAATGGAAGACCAGAAGCTCCTATTGATCTTGAAACTCGGATCTGTAACAATTGTAATATAACAATACGCCGTGAAATTCAAATGTTACAGGCTGATCCCAATTGCATCCGACTCAATGTTCTTTCTCATCGTACTAATAATGAATGTTTGGTGTGCCATAGACGTATTAACATTCACAGATTAAGTTTACAATCCAGAGTTCATATTTTTGTAGAGCGAAACATTTATGTGCCAGCAAGATACTGTTGCTGTAATGAGCATTTGGATGAAAAGGGTTTATTACCACTCAATATTATTGAAGATTTCAGGTTCATTAATAGACCATACATTTTGAATGGTCCAGAATTACAATCATTTGTTCAAGCGATGCGTGAAGAGATTGTGCATAGCCCTGTACGCAGATATGAATATGAACGCACTTTAACAGATGAACAATTTGCAGCTATTTCTCCTATTTCAAAAGATAACTTTAATGATCTTTTCACATACTCTGATCCTGTCATCGTTCCAGGTGGCCATCGTTATGTGTCTAAAAAAGACCTTCTATGTTTCCTGTGTAAGTTAAAACAGGGTCTTTCGGATGAATTTTTATGGGTAATGTTCCATTATTCTTCAAGGCAAGCTACGAGTTTAGCAATCAGTACAGTTCGACAATCGTTGATGACGAGATTTGTAGATGAGAACATAGGGTTTGGATCAATAACAAGGGAGGAATACATAGAAAGACATATAACACCATTTGCAAATCGCTTGTATAATGCCACACCTGAAGAACCGACGGCAATTGTGTACAATGATTGTACTTATCTAAATATTGAGAAGAGTTCTTGTTTTAAATCCCTGCGTCAATCGTTTTGTGTTCATAAGAACAGACATTTATTAAAACCTGCCATGTTTGTAGCTCCAGATGGATATATACTTGATATTCAAGGACCTTATTTTTCGAATGCCGCTAACAATGATGCCAGAATCCTTTTAAAAGAGTTCCAAATGGATGTTGACGGAATGCAAAGATGGTTTAGAGCACAAGACATTTTCATACTGGATCGCGGATACCGAGACGCCAATCCTATTTTAACGGATATTGGCTTAGTTACATTGATGCCACCTTTACTTGATCGTAATCAAGCTCAGTTCTCAACAGAAGATGCCAACCAAGCTCGAATCATCACAAAAACTAGATGGATCGTGGAAGCCAGAAATGGCCATCTGAAAAGTTTATTTAAATTCTTTGCAAACGTTATTCCTACGTCTCATATTCCCAACTTGACTGATTTTCTGCGTATAGCCGGTGCTATAATAAATAAATATCATAGAATAATTATGATGCCTGATGCAAACGTAGAATTAGCAGAACAGATGTTAAATAAAGTTAACGAGCTCAATCTAGTGCAAGCTCGAGTAGAAGTTGAAGGTCTTCAACGAAGACGAGGTCGATGGGATAACCTAACTGCAATGCATGTGCCATTGTTTCCGAATTTGACTTTGGAATATTTACGAGGATTAACTTATGGAACTTATCAAGTTGGGCTGGCACCTTCATACGTTTAGGATTCTTCTTTAAGGGCTGAGTTGGAAAATGAAGAAGAAATCGGAGAAGACGAACAAACCTTTGAAATCGATCGGAATACCAATGAACCAGGTTTTATGAGAATAAGAATTTCCTCTAGATTCAGAAATGCTGCGAAACATCAAGTATGGATAGCATTTAATGAGGAGTATAATCAAGAGCAAGATGTTGCAAATGAAGAAGAACTTATTCTTGGTTACTACTGTACATGCAAGGCTGGAGCAAGAACTCTTGGAACTTGCGCCCATGTAGCAACTATTCTTTGGTATTTGGGATACGCTCGACATGAAAATCAGGTGCACTATCCATCGCTCAGATTTTTGCGAAGCGTACAAGATGCACAGATGGATATTGATCAATTAATTGAAATAATAGATCCTCTCGGTTAATAGAGATTAGTAATGTGAAAGAAGAGAGAGGAAATAGGCTTTATGCTTATTGTTTCTATTTTTTTATTTTTTTTGTTTTATACACACACGTATATATACACAAACCCACACACATACACATACTGACTTACACATTTACATACACACACTCACACACTCATACACACACCACGGACCTACTTAGTAGTCTAAGTGGACGGGGAGGTGAACCCCGACGTGGCGCGTCCCAGGTGGCGGATAGGGAGGCTCGCTTGCTATTGGCTTGCCAATAGCGGGAGGGTTTGAGAGAAATAAGATACCTCTCGCGGACCAAACACAAACCCCGTCCAGGTTCACGGACTAGGAGTAGGAGCTCCGAATATAAACCAACCATGGAAAGTACATCAAACAATAATATACCCCAGGTAGGTAAACCCTCAAATGAGGTCAATCCTACCACTGGCTCCGATCGAGTGAAAGCCTCGGTGGCCGGTGCTGGCGCTTTGGATTCTGGGGACGCCAAAATGTACGAAAAAAAGTACGAAATGCTAGGAGAAGGTACTCCGCATCAAAAACCACATGAGGATAAGCTGCAGCGACTTGAGAAGGCTGTTGAAGAGCTTCTCAAGATGCTGGAAGACAAACAGCAGCGCACGATAAACAACACCATACGTGGTCTGGGCCGGAAGGTGAAAGCAACGCTGAAAAGCCTCAAAAGCACGATGTCAAATGGAGAGGTATCTGTAACTACCAATCCTCGGATCCAAGAGATATCAGGTGTTAGGAAAGTGCTGTTCTCTGCTCCTGTAGGAACGCCTACACCGAGTCCTGCGGGAAGTACGCCAAAGAGGAAGGCAAACTCACCGCCCACTACTGAGACGGCGACTGTGAAAAAGAATAGAAGGGCTCGCCAACCGGGTGTGACTCCACTTATGGAGCAGCAGTAGAAGTCTGTCCAACAAGACGATCGACAGAAAGAAGCAGGCGATGCCAACGACCGAAGCTGAAAAACAGTGAAGAAGAAGAGAGAAAAGAAAATGAAGAGCTTCGAACCGATACGGAGACCCCGGATGTTGCCGAATGCTCTACTTATAAGCGCTAAACCGGAGAAATCCTACGCGGACATCTTGAGGAAGGTGAAGACCACAATCCCGGGAAAGGTAGCCGAGGACAGCATTGAAAAAGTGCGTAGGACGGCAACAGACCAATTGCTAATTGTGCTCAACCGGAAAATAGGAGACAACATGGGACCTCTCCAGAAGGAGATAGAAACAGCCCTGAAAGAAGAAGCTGACGTCACCAGTAAAACACACCAGGTAGACCTCGAAATCAAAGATATCGAGGAAACAACTACCAAGACTGAACTCTTGGAAGCCCTTCAAAGAGTGATCGGAGAAACGGCCACCGTGAAGGATGAATCGATAAAGTCTATGCGGGTGGCATATGGGAAAACCCAAATAGCCTGCATGAGACTGCCGGCTGAAGTGGCACGTAAAGCAATAGGTGAAAGGGGTAAAATCCGGATTGGCCTTGTCAATTGTAGGATAAGAGAAAGCAATCGGTCTCTCAAGTGTTATAGATGCTGGCATCCGGGACATATAGCGAAGATATGCACGAGTGAAGTGGACCGATCTAAACTCTGCATGAAGTGCGGTGGACCTGGGCACAAGGTTGCAGAATGCACCAAAGATGCATACTGCATCCTATGCGCTGAATCAAAGCAAGTAGAGCACTGCAAACATGTAACTGGCAGTATTAGATGCGCAGTTGCTAATGAAGCTAGCAAAAAGCGGAAACGACCACGACGACAATGAAGATATTGCTGCACAACCTAAACCATGACCAAGGTGCGCACAACCTGCTCTTGCAGACAATACGAGAATGGGAAATAGATGTGGCCATAATAGCTGACCCGTACAAAGCCGGAGTAACTCAGTCATGGGTCATCGACACGACAGAAGAGGCAGCCATCTGGCCGTGTGGAAACTTACCTTTCCAGGACACAGCAAACTGCACTCAAAGTGGATTCGATGCAACTATGGCTCGAAAGGGCACAAGAAACAAGCATGCACCGATATACTGGTGGAGCGAGAACATCGCTACCATTCGAAAGGAGTGCATCTTAGCAAGAAGGGCGGTAACACGCGGACGGAAGAAAGGCAGAAATGTCATAGAGCTGCAAAACCAGTACAAAAGGGCTCGTTCAAACCTGGTAAAAGCGATCAAGATCAATAAAAGACAATGCTGGAAGGAGCTTCTGGAAGAGGTCGATACTGACCCTTGGGGAAGGCCCTATAAGGTCGTCACCAAACGGCTAAAGAGCCAGGCAACGGTATCACCAAGTTGTCCAGTGTTTCTCAAGAAGGTAGTAGAAAACCTATTCCCTCAACGACCTAGCTGCGAATTTCATATAACGCAAAACGAGGGAGAAGTCATCCCACTCGTGACGAGAGAAGAACTGAACAAAGCATGTACGAAGGTAAAAAACGCGAAAGCCCCAGGATTAGATGGCATTCCAAACGCTGCACTTAAGAAGGCTATAGATGGAGCGCCAGACATGTTTCTCAGCATGTACAACAGATGCATCCTAGAAGGGTCATTCCCCAGCAAGTGGAAAGAGCAGAGATTGGTTCTTCTCCCTAAGGGGAAAAAGCCACCTGACGAACCATCATCATACCGTCCACTTTGCATGCTCGACACAGCAGGAAAAATTCTAGAACGAATCATCCATGGAAGAATTGAGGAAGTAGTAGACAAGCAGCTCTCCGATAAGCAGTTCGGATTTCGAAAAGGTCGGTCGTCACTCGATGCTATTGACCTGGTCACTAACATAGCGAAAGAAGCTATCTCCAGTGAAAGATGGAGAAACGGGAAGAAGAAATACTGCTTGGTTGTCGCACTAGACATTAAGAATGCCTTCAACTCGGCAAGGTGGGATCGCATCATGGACGCGCTAACGAAGATGAATGTTCCCGCGTACCTTCTCAAAATGGTGGCCAGCTATTTCACGGACAGAAACCTGAAATATGATTCAGAGGAAGGGCCAAATGAGTACCGGGTGATAGGAGGCGTACCGCAGGGCTCGGTACTTGGACCACTCCTATGGAATGTGATGTACGACGGTTTACTACGGCTTAAACTGCCAGGAGCAGTTACACCAGTGGCGTTCGTGGACGACATTGCCCTGGCCATCGTCGGCAAATACCTCGAAGACCTGAGAAACCTTTTCGATATGTGTTTTGTGAGATACCAAGAGTTCCTAGGTTACCTTGGACAGGAACTCGCAAAGCATAAAACGGAGGTGGTACTAATAACAAGCAGAAAGGTAACTGAAACAATTACATTGCGAGTGGGACAACACAACATCAGATCACAGCCGTGTATCCGATATCTAGGAGTGATGATCGATGCCCGACTTAGCTACAAGCAGCAGGTGAAAAACGCTGCCAGTAAGGCATCGGTGGTCGGAGCTGCCCTGTCGAGGCTCATGCCGAATGTGGAAGGACCTAAACAAAACAGAAGAGCGCTCCTGGCGTCTGTAGTTACATCAGTCATTACATATGGCATTGCCATCTGGACAGATGGACTAAGGACACAGGAATTTCGCAGAAAACTATCAGGGGTATACCGACGGTGTGCCCTTCGAGTGGCAAGCGCATACCGCACTGTTGCGAAGGAGTCTATCGAGGTCATCGCGGGGATGATGCCAATTGAAGAACTCGCAGGCGAAAAACGACGTATCTACTATCAAAGAAAGGATAGTCAGATTGATGCAAACCAGGCTAAACGTCAGGAGAGACAGACAAGCCTGCTTCGTTGGCAAGAGGCTTGGGATAGATCAAACAAGGGACGATGGACCTACCGACTCATCCCCCGTATTGACAGGTGGGTGCAACGTGCACACGGTAGTGTAAACTACTATCTGACACAGATGCTATCAGGACACGGATGCTTCAGGGCATACCTGTACAAATATAAGTACGAAGATTCCGTGGAGTGCCCGACTTGTGCTGGACTCGAAGAAGACGCGGAGCATGTGTTTTTTCACTGCCCGAGATACAAGACCTATCGCTGCAACCTGGAGCAGACGTTAGGACGAAGCATCACAGCGGAAACACTAGTAGAAGCCATGCTGACCACAGAAGAGGTATGGAACGCCACGACGAATTTCGCGACTGAGATCATAAAGGACCTACGGAATGAAGAAAAGAAGAGGATCCTACTGAAGAAGATCGAAGAAGGAAGAAGTACGCTGCCGAACCCTGTAACCGACCATCGCCATCTAGGTTAGTGCAGGGATGTAGGCAGCACAACTAAGAAGGAAGAGCTGGAAACAGCTAACGCCTCCTCCACGATGTAATACTTCACCGTCTTTCCGTGGAGGATTTAAGGCCGGGTGTAGAGAGGTTATTTTTAGTCGGTAGTGCACTTGGCATACGAATAAGTATGAAAAGGCCAAGATGTAGTCATACCATCAGACCACACAGGTTGTTTTAACACCCAACAACCTGGCGAGCCCGGCACAACGTGCGTCAATGCATTTTTTTCCTCTCAATTAAAAAAAAAAAAAAAAAAAAAAAAAAAAAAAAAAAAAACACTCATACACACACACACATACGCACTCGCACACGCATACGTACACCCACACGCACACACACGCACACACACACACACACACACAGGGATCAGACGCCCATCACGTCCACGCCGTTGATCCTGGATTCGGCTGAGAATGGATCACCGTACACTATCACTTTCGCGTAAAACAAAGAGATCTACGGATCAGAGAAAGAGGTTGTGAGTATTTATATGTGCATCGACTTTCAAATGTCCACAAAATATAAATCAATGTACATGCATTCAATAAAAGCATATCATTGTCGTCTTAAAATGGCTAAGACGTATACTATGTATTTTTGGAGCTAACACCCTTGATTTGTCCCTAAAAAACGAGTTTCCGGATATGGTACCCATGGAGACATTTGATCAGTATGTTACGAACTATCGATTTGTCAGTGTAA